ACAGACAGACAGACAGACAGACATACAGACAGACAGACAGACAGAGATAAGTATATATTTATATCTACCCAAACACATGTATACAGAGAAGTTTGTCACATGTCGAGAAGTGCTTTTTTAGTCGATGTTCTGAGTATACTCTTGAATTCACATGTGTCAAGCAGTGACTGACCGGAACGCCGCGGTGAAGCCGCAAAATGTTGAGGACGCCAAAGCACGGGGTAAAACGGGGTAAAACGGTGCCAAGTTCACCATGGTCAGAAAAAGACATTTGGGATTCAATATACTCCACGTACTTTTCGTGCCCAAGGGACAACTGCTATGTCCGTTTCTTCTTTGCTCTCCCATTTTGTGAACCCTATGTGGATGCCCGGATGCCCTATTTCTTGTCTTGTTTTCGGGAACTTTGTGTAGTTCCCAGTTTCGTTGGATATTTAGACGACTGAAGTGGCCACATGAGCAGGTGCTGAAGCCCGGAGCACCAGAACCTTCGCAAATGGGTTGATGATTCTTTGGACACACACCCTTCAATCTACTCCGGGTTGATTTCTTAGCTTAGCTGTGACTGTGAAGATGTTACCATATATATATATAGTATTACACCGGCTTATTTTCTCGTGTACCCGCGGTTCAAACAATAAGGTATCGTTTTTTCCTGCCTTTGGTTCGTTGGTGCGGTTTTGGTTCGTTCCAACAATGGGGGATCCCTTCCAAACGAGAGTGTTATTTACAGGAATCAACAGAGACAAATGTTATTTGGAGTTAACATAGATAGGTTGACTCCCAAACTTGGAGCTTCCATGGGGTTTGTCACGGTGATTCTATTGGGGAGGAAAAGATGGTAGGTCACGGTGTTTGTGCGGTCCCACTTGTGCCAGGCGGTGTCGTCGCTCTTTCAGGCGAACAACCCGAAGATGGAAAGAGCGTGGTGGATCCAGGGTTGGCAGGGTTTTAGCAGCATGATTCATGAGAGTCTCTGCGAGTCTATGCTGCTTCATGTGTGGAACAGGGTTCTTGGAACCCTCGAAATCCCAGCACGGACAGAGAGACCTTTGAAGCGCAATTTTGAGTTCTATTTTTGGCTGCCAAAGGACCGGATCAAACATTTGGCTGACCTTTGTTTTGGGGGGTAGGGTATGATTCCCATTGTCCGATGCTCCCCAAACTAAGACCAGCGCACAGCAGCAGACAATGTCTTCAATCCTTATTGACTGTGCATATACTGTACATGTATGTATATATATATATTATACTGTAGATTGTTTTGGCCGTCCAATTGATATGCACAGCACGCTTCAAAGTTTTCAAAGGGCTCTGCACACATCTCTGGGTCACACCGTTGGGGAGGTCGTCTCCTTTTGGTTCAGTTCTTTAGACATGCACCGTTGGCCACCCACAAGTCATCTTGTGCAAAACGGCTTCGGTGAGGCCATCACTGGTGGCATGGATGCTCGGCCGGTGGACTGGGTCAGCTTGGCTGAACCGGTTCGGCTGAACCGTCCAGGCTGAACCGGTTGAGGGGATTCCAACAAGGAGTTCCAGCAGAACTCAGAACTCCAGTTTCAGGACTTCGCAACCCACCACGAACCAGAAACCATTTCAGCAAAAGATCGGTCGACATGACCAGACCCTATCGGAAGATGACTTTGCTCGATTCAAGGTGCTCTACCATCTGTTTCTATCTTAGTCTTTGGGAGGGTTTCTCTCTCTCTCTCTCTGTCTGTGTCTCTCGCGCTCGCTCGCTTGCTCTCTCTTTTGCATCAAGCTAAGCAGTTGCCACTGCTGCCATCGCTGGGAATGTGGGGTCCCTCTGAGGATTGGCGTGTAGTCGTGGAGGTCTTCCATGAGAGCTCTCCTGAGCTTCACGAGCTCTTGAACGTCAGGGGATCCCAAACCGTGGGTGGAAACAGGATGCTGCCATGAGTATCGTTTTTGAGTCCAAGGACTTGTTTGCTGGTGTCTGAAGTGATTGGACACCACTTGTACAATATGTCCAAGCCTCATTTAGAGCCGTGTAAATGATGCAAGGTAGCTATGAACCAGGCAGACGCACGACGAAGACAATTAGTTTACTTGTAGATGGAAATCGCGGGCTTGCTGGGGCCTGATGCTTTTGCGACAGTGATTGCAATTGACCTACGGTTGTCACTTGATGCTTTCTCCATCAAAGATGTTTGTATGGTCACTTGCGAGGAACTCGCGCAGCGTTCTGGAAATTTTGGGGTGTGAAGTGGACTTCAGCTGGACCACTTCCATAAACGGTTTACGACCACAGCCAGGCTGCTCTTAGCCGGATCTATTGATTCAAAACTTCTTCCCCAAAAAGGCTGTCTTGTTGGACTTCGGTGGAAGGGAGCCACGCTCTTCCACGCTCCACCAACCGACCGACTGTGAGACTCACCGTGAGATTATCTTCTCTCTCTACATCGCCTTTGCCACCTTAGTGATGCTCAACTTGGTGACCGGCGTCTTTGTGGAAGGCGGGCAATTCAAGGGGCCGCGCGCGCTCTACTGGGCCCGCGTGGGGCCAGTCGCATCGAAAGATCCAGACTTGTGCCTTGGTGGGGCTTGATGGACCCATTGGTGGCACGCAACGCAAGTGTTTTCGGAACTCTCGTACCATTCCAACCGGGTATGTTGCAAGCTCATTTGCTGTCCAGATCGCAACACGGCAAAAGATTGTGAAGGTCATTCATGGAATTTTTGGGAGATCCATCGGATCGAAAAAAAAAGAAAGCATCATTAGCGCAAAGCTGTATTTTCGAGTTTGGTCCAATCCATTCCAATCCCCAATCCTCGGGTTAAGTCTCCGGACATCTGAATCCAGATCCCGACGGTCCCGGAGTCCGCAAACACCGAGCTTGAACTCAGTTCTTTGGATTCCATGGGTCGGAACCTACGACGCTCCCCAACTCTGCTGATATATGGACGGAAACCGGCGATATATGCACGCATGCACACGAAGAGATGGCGACCGGAACCAAATGGCTTGGTCAAAGTGAAGCCAGCAAGGATCTTGTATCCTCGACATCTTTGACACGTCTTATGCCACTCTAGGAGCCTCACCAGGCACCTCCCAGTATTTCTGTGGATCCGTCCCCCAACATCGGTGTGACATCGCCCTTTCGGACCTCCACGACCATTTGGCCCATGACCCGACCCCGCATGGCTGGCGAAAGCATTGGCCAGGCGCGCAGCGGATCGCCAAGGAGGAAAAAGAACAGGAACTCATCAAGAGCGTCCAGAAGTTGTGCACCTTGAAATACGCAGAGTTGCGGGAGCGAGGGCGTCTACTTCCAGAAGCCTAGAGATGTTTGGCATGTGATGCATTCTTGGATTCAACCACAAGAGCGGACCGAATCAATGGCCGACAGGGGCGGACTCCATCCAAGGTTTCAGGGCAACTTGGGGGTTCCTCCAGGTTTTTTGCACTTCCTCAGCGCCAAGTACTGCAGCCAGCCTTCACCTCCCCTGTCTTCCCAAGGCAAAATGACCTATGCCAGTCATGATGGCGAGGCCTGTGGCTCTGTCCGCGTCATTTTGATCAGACTTTCCTGGGGTTATATGAAATGTTATGAATAAGTTGTATGATTGTGTGCTCAGTTGTTCCCACCAGGGTTGGACTGTAGTGGATCCCTCTTAAGACTCTTGAGTCTTTTTCTGCACTGCATAGTTGAATCTGTGCTTCGCACTGGGGGCCACTTGTGGTACGTTTTGGACCCGGCTGCCAGACCCCCTTTTGCTCGCTCTCCCCCAGCAGGCTCTTGCCTGACAGGGCCCTCCACGCCACTGGAATCGTTGAAGCTATATATATATATATAGATGAGTCGAGTGAACCTCTTGGGGCTGGGGCCACTGGCACAGTGGCCTTCAATCCTTTTGTTCACAAATGGCAACCGGATTGAAAAGGCGTGAAGGCTTGGATGTCTTCAGAAGCGGATGGTTCGATTCCGAGCATGGTTTGTTCGATGCCCGTCAGAAGCCTAAGCCTGGTGGAGCAAGACGCAAGCCCTTTGTACTACACATACTTTGTATGATGGACCAATACCAGAAATTCATCCGCATCAACTCAATCCAAGAATTGAAATGGAGGGCATGGTGAGACGGTTTTCTGCTACAAAGAGGTGGTGAAAACCACATCCATTATTCGTGGAAGGTAGGATGATACCCTTTCTCCTCCCCTCTCCATCCTCGTGAGATTACCTGGGAAGAGTTCGAAGCCAACTTGCGGACCCCCGAGATGGAAGCGCCTCGGCCTCGTACGTTTGGCGGTGCAGTAGAGGGAAGAGTGAATCTCCCTTGGAGCAAGAACAAGACATTTGGAGATCAATTTGTTGAAGTAGATGAAATGTATATCGAAATTTATCCTTTTGTTTTCCGAAGCTGTACAGCCTCGTCTGACCATCTCTACAGCCGCTGTAGTCGCGTGAGACCGGCAACCATGGGCACATGAGGAGAATCCCAATGACCCTCATTCCAGCAACTCTGTTTCGGACATGAGGTACTTGACCATGAGGCATTTTCTTCTTTTCTGATGTGGATCAACACCTGCTGTCGCCATGGGGTTCGAACGACCGACGCCGGTAGGTCGGTCAACAGGTCGGTCTGTGACCCCAAAAGACATGTGCGAAGGGCCACCAGTTGGCCGAATGACCACTGACCGACACCAATTGGGATGTTTCATGGTGGGAGCCCGGATTCGATGCCCAAGCGTGGCAGCGTGGTGAAAGCTAAGGCATATCTCAAAGCTTTCGACATGGACCCAAACCAGGCCCTGCTGCGCAGTCGATATGGACCCTACATTCTCCACCTTTGATCTCCATCCAGGATGGTCTGAAGAACTCCCAGCATTCTTGGTTGAAATGACATGGAGGCTGCCTCCTTGTGAACACATACTGTAAATCAATTTAGTTGAGTCATCCACGGCTTATTTATCGAGGTGCTCCAATCGAGGTGCTTAAGGCTTAGGCACTCCAATCAGTCCAAACGAACACGAGTATTCGTATGTTTGAACACGAGAAAATTGGCTCCGGATCATTGGATCGGTTGGCACATGTTGGCACCTCTTCATTGTCTATTATGTAATGTAGACTCTTGAGGATTAATGTCGGCCCTCCATATGAAGAGGTGTTTCAATTCAATTGAGGTGTTTTATCAATCAAGAGTCTACATTAGCTCTTCACCTATCGAGATGTCTACCTACCTAGTCCTACCTATCTCTCTGTATCCTGTCTATTTGTGTGTCTGTCTGGCTTGCTGTTGGCCTGCCGGTCGGTCGGTCGTCTTTTTGTCTATCTTTCAATGTCTCAATCCAACTCCATTAATACCCATTCTTGTTGCCACCTCTTGTGTTTATGTCACGTCTCTTGGCGGTCTATCTCTGGTTGGTCTGTTGTGAGGAAGCATCTTAAGTCTTCAGGTGCATCCACTCTCTGTTGTTGTTTGAGCCCCGTTGTAGTGGCGACACGAAATGAGCTCTTCTATAGCAAAGATCAGGTGTATTGGTGCCGGTCTTTTCATTCTTTTCTCAGGCCACCAAATTCGAGCCATACGAATGTCAAGGCGGTCTCCAGCAAAAGCTGTTTCTCTCTCTTCGTCTCTCCTTGTGTCTCTTTTACCCTCATTGTCAGGAAAGCATTTACCACAACAAAGGCATTGTGATTGATCTTCCAGTGATTGAGGGCAAACATTTTGTTGCAAGCCCTTCAAGGCGCTTCTTATGGCAGTACCATGTTTTATTAGTCCCTGGGTAATCGAGGCCAACAGGATAAGTTCTTCATGTCCTCGCATTCCACGGGCGCCTGGCAGGCCAGAGATATCTTCTATGCCCCTTGCTCACAATTGCATTTTCTCCGTGGAGCGGGCGGAAATAGCAAGTTTTTCTCCACGTTGGCTTCATGGAATTGTAGAACATCGCCAAAGAAGAGGTGACATGTTTGTCTCAGACAGACCTGGTTTGATGGATGAGGCTTTGAAGGTTTCGGGGCCGTTGTGAGGGGTTGACTGCTTTGGTGATAAGGCTGGAAGAGTGCCATGTTCAGGGTAGAGGCGACTAGATGAACCCATGTGGTTTGTCAAATGCAGGTTTGTTGTGAGTTCATTGGGATCAGTATGTAAAACACCGAGATCTTTTTTGCGGATGATTATTGAGTTTTGCCGAGGGAACCAACGAGGTGATTCTCCTGAGAAAGTGATGCCCCTTACATACCATCCATCAGCAGAGGACACACTTTTTTTTCAAAGATCCATCAAATCAGCTGCCGGGAAAACAGATTTCGAGCAAGAAATGTAGGAAGGGCCTCTCAAGTATGGTATATTGATATATGTTCTTCCCAGTTGTGTCGTAAGATGAGATTTTTCTTCTTCTTGACAACCAAAGACACTGACGTATTAGGTTCTGAGACGTTCGGCAAGGGTCTATACGAGTTACGTTTTGAAGGGTTTGTACAAGGCTATTGACCTTATTTGTATGTTATTGGTCAAACTAGGTCATCAACTAGGTTATTTCAACTCTTTTTTATTTTTTATTTTTCTGAGCTTCCTTATGTTGCCTCGATCAAAGCCTCGGGGGCTTGCTGTCTGCCCCCAGTGACAAGTTCTTACCGATGAGCACTTCCTCAGCCTCGTTCCAAGGCTATAGTGCTTGGAGGGCAGTTTTGGGGAGGGCAGCTGCGTGGTTTACACTCCTTGAACCCTGTAGAAGATCTTGAGTATGCAGTATGCAGCCCAGCTTTTCTTTTTCTATCCTGACCATATCCGAACAAGAGGTGAGCTGAGATCGAGTCGGGGGGATGAACACCGACAAATCCCACTTGAGAGGAACACCACCCTTCGCGGTTGCTGTGAAAAGCTAGACAAGCGTGCCCTTGGACTGGATAAACATCCAAGAAACTGATTTGGACATGTGGTACATTCTCGTTAGGACTCTTGGATCAAATCCCAAGTGGTGGTGCAAAAAGGGACTGGTCAAAAAGCAGTCTTAGGCTTTGTGCCAAAGAGTTCTGAGCTGGGGTATATATTGCACCTAATCCGTTACTAAGTTACTATCACCCTTTCACTGCCTTTCACCCGTCCACCCTAAACCCAAGAACATCACCAGCTCCACCCTTTCAATCCCTTTCACCTGTCCAAAGCTCCAAGCCTCATGGGATTCCGCACGGAAGACCGACGATCCCAGGTGTTGGATCGTGACGACACGGGCACCGTCAGCCTGGAGGAGGGACCGTGAGCCGTGTGCCGGTGCGTTGGTCCGGTTGGTGTCCGGTGTGAGACCAAGCGGGCACAGGAGAAGCGCAGAGGCATAACTCTTTGGTGAAAGACTGGTTGAGATGCTTCTGAAACGGTGTTGGTTTTGGGCTTAGCAGAGTGAAACAGCTGACATCATCTCAAAAGGTGGGCTGTGTGGCTGTGTGGTGCCACAATGGCCAGTCGCCCCATACGAACAGGCCGCTTTCGCTTTGACAGGAATGAGACATGTGAGACCCAACACAGTGCTTTCAAGAGTGCTGAATTGGTCAACTTCTGCCGACATTTCCTCGCCCAAACATTGTTGTTTTAGTATGGGCCAGCAAGCAAGGCATATCCGTACTTTGATGCGACCAAAGACATGGGCCCCCCTCAATCTTGTAACCCACCTCACGGAGGGATATTCTCACATGGTTGCCATTTGTAGAAGAGGCACCGTCACACAAATGCCTGACAACCGTTCCAAAGAAGGCTTTAGTGGTGCTAGTGTAGTTGCACTATTAGATGGATCCAAGCTAGTGCTCTTGGTGACGAACTCGCGAGGAGTTTGTCGGCGCGTCCATTAAGCTCCATGCCCCTGCACGGATGGCTGACCGAGTGGCCTGGCACTATTGAAGTTGGGAAATAGCATTGGTGACACCGTGACACCCTCTTCTTGGAACGCAGATGTAGAAACCATGTGCATGTACCATCTATGTGGGCTTTGGGGACAGGAAAGGTAGACTGTCCGGCTGTGAGAGGTAAGACTTCCAAACAGAGACCTTTGGATGCTCGTCACCAAACACCTTTGTTTGGTCACGGCCCCCTGAGGGTTTACGCCCTATCGGATGCGACTGGCGGTGGTATTTGGGAGTGTGAGTTCTGATGTTCTTTGTGCATCAGATAGTATGGCAGTCAGCTGGCCGTATGGAGAGGCCTTCAGGAGGGCAGAGTTGGCCCGTCGGCCCCCGAGGTCATACCATTTTTGGGGCATGACTCGCACTCGTAACATCTGAAGGCACGGGTCCTTCTACAGCTTGGCATCAGCAAAGGGTAGCCTGGCTTGGCCAAAGAAGGCAGAAAAGAGACCATAGTGGCCCGACCACCAAAAAGATGTATGATTCGTCTTGAAATAGCCCAAAGATGCCCAAAGGAATTCCCAGCAAGAGGCGGTGGTCTAACCTATGCTGAGCTAAAATGATCAAACCTTTGGCTGAAAGACCTTATCTCTCTCTCTCTGTGTCTGTCTCTCTCTCTCTCTATATTTCTATACATACACAGTATATATATATATATACACACATGCCTGGGCAGATGCTTGATTCAAACCTCAAGGATGCCACTCATCTCTGTTTGAGCAGGAAGACATGACTGCTACACACACCCAATGAGAAACTATTTTAGGGATTTCTATCACGGCGGTCTCGCCAGGATGAAAGAGCTCGATTTCCCATTACTGTATTCAAATCATCCACTTGGTTCCCTTCTCCCTGCCTCCAGTTTCCAGGAGATCTTGCGAAACTACATGAAGGAGCAGTGCTGTTCAGAGTGGATTTGAGTCGTTGAACCACGGCAGTTGTGAAGCTCTTAGCAGAACAGGACTCCAGGCAAATCTCGCGGACGGGGTGCTCAGTAGATTTCGACCACTCTGACACCGGAGCTGGTGATGGATTGAGGTGCTTGATCTTTTGTTGGTAGAGACCAGGAAGTTGGAGCTTTGAGCCGTCTTTGGCTCCCTGAAGAAGCTGCCACTGAACAGAAAGGAACACGACCCCCAGAGAGATTAGTTGGCCCCCAGATCCCAAAAGCCACCAGAAGCACCCAGAAATGAGACCAGGAACCAACTGTTGGATGACAATTGGTTTTCCCTTGTGGTCAACCAGCTTGTCCAACGGTGAGACACTGAAGGAGGTGGCCAGCGAGCTCACAGCAAGCGAACTCCACCGGCTTTCGGGATGGACACAGACATTCTTCTTCACCTGAGCACCAGCAAATTCAAAGCACTTCTTCCGCACTTTTCTTTGCATCGCCCGCCGCTTCTACTGGAAAACTCACAATACATCAAATACATCGAAACCTACTCGAATACTACATCCCTCATCCTCGAGATGATTCCTTCCTGTTTTTACTCCGGAGGATTCCTTCGCTGAGATGAACTTCCGACTCTCCAGACTTGAAGATCTGTCTCTTGGGCGAGCGTGGGTCTTCCGCCGTGGGTGTCTTTTCCGGCGGCCAGCGGCTTAAAAAGCTGTTGTTTGGAGGTGTTTTTCGCTTTCGTTTTTCCTGTTTGGGGACCGTTAAGACCGTAGAATCCACTCAGACATGGAATATGATACAGAAGCCTATACACATAGATGATACATGTTTCGATGACCAAGCACTGCAAGATACATCCACATCCACATCCACTTTCCTTTGGGAGAAGCTTCTAGTAGTGTTGGGAACCTTTGCCCCTTTCGATCCCCTTTCCTTTCCATTTCCTCGAGGTTTCGCTTGAGCGTTGAGGGGTTGATTTGGTTTTGAGATCGCCTGGCATCACCCAGTTTCTACAGGGTTGGATGAGGGTTGGATGGTGGTTTGCGCCGCTGCGCAGAAGAGCATGCTCTCGAAGATGTTGGGCTGCAGCTCCACCACATCATCCACATCATCTCCAAATCAGTCAGCTCAGGTACCATGCCAGTCATATGGAATGGACGAGGTGTTCTCATGGTCTTCCCCAAGTCTTTGATCATTCTATCACCGAGTCCACTCCCAAGACCTGGCACCACTCTGACGGATGAGGGAACCTGGATGAGGGAGACCACTAGCTGCAGGGAGACCACCCAAAATGGCGTGCAGCTCGGCCGAAGCCACCACTTCAGGTGGCAGAGGCCAAGCAAAGACCCCCGGCCATCAAGGAAGGAGGACGAGGCCGAAGGAGGAAGTCCCGGGTGGTGATGACTCCAAAGAGCTCCCCGTAGAAGCCATCAATCTCTCTCTCTCTATATATATATATACAGACATATATAGATCTCATTTGAAGTTACGTATGTGCTTTGGAGAAATCAGCTGGACAGTGCTTCAGTGCATTGCGCTTACTAAATGTTTGGACAGTCTGACAGTTTCTTTTCCCTGTATACTAAAGAAACGGACAACACAGCTAGAAGAAGTGCAGTCCCATTCCTCAAGACCCATTCAAGCTTTGGGGCTGTAGTTGTGCTTCGTTTTCTCCAGTCAGTTGAGTCGAGTTTTCACCGGTCTCCAAAGATGACCCTCCCGCTGCGAGGGCAGATGCTGAGGGCCAACCGTAAGATAATGCCAAAGGCCTGGTTTTGGCCATGCTTCCCAGGTTGGATCATGCCAGAGCCCGTCATTCTCGCAAGCTGTATTATCCACATGTTGGAGTGGGCAGATTTCGGGCTAAACAGGGAAGCATGGTTGGGAGCAGAATTTGAGTTGTGCACTTAAAGTGGACCACATCTATCCTCAAAGAGGAACTGGAACATATGGTACCACTCCTGCCACTTGCATAGACATATAGACGGGAGGCATACTTGCAGGTCGGTGTTGCTTTCTGCTAGCTGCTATTTTCGTATCATCGGCACCTCAAAGATGCAGGGCTCAAAGTATACTGTAGCTTCTACGGTGCGTTGAGCCCCAGAACGAAAACCGTTCGTACGCGATCCTTTTTTCTGTGCCGTCCGCGCCATTGCTTTGTTGGTGGGGAAGGGTGAGGTGACGAGCTGGCAAAGGGATCAAGGTCGCGAAGTCCGACCTGGCACCGCAGAGAGCGGCGGCAACGTTCCAACGCTCGGAGGGTGTACAGGAAAGTTCAACAGGGTACCCACTACCCAAGGCAAGGTCTGAAAAAGAAGTTTGGACTTGCACTGCGACGCCTGCTTCCGCACCACTCCTGGAAGAACAATTCGATGGGAGGATGGAATCAAGGCAAAGGAAAACAGAAGACTCAGTGGTGGACGCACTGGGATGGTGCGTACCACCTGCGCAAGGACAAAGAGAGTGCCAAGGGAAAAGGAGCGGAGAAGAAGAAAGAGCAGAAAGGCAACAAAGGGGACAAAGAGCCGGACAAGGCTTTTTCTTTTCCCGACTACGACTTCTCTTCCTCATCAACATCCTCTTCATCGAAGCAGCTGTTGGAGGAGGAAGTCAAGAAGGAAGTGCTGAAGTGCTTGAAGGCGAGTGGCGTGGAGCCCAGCTTGAGCCTCAGCGAGCTGCTCAATGCCGAGCCGGAGCAATTGAGCAATCTCAAAGAAGAGCAGAAAGCCCTGAACCTGAGGAAGAAGCTCTTACTCAAGATCGAGAAGATCAAAAAGAGAATGAAACAGAAAAAGGATGCTTGGGAAGTCTTCGAAGCCACAGTACAAGAGCATGTTTCGAAGCAAGTGGCCAAGCACAAAGAAGACATGGATGCCTTGGCACAAGAATTGAAGACCACGGAAGAAGAGGTGTCGAAGTTAGTGACACCGGAGGAAGAGATGCCACAGACTCTTGGAGAAGGAGAGTCCATGGAAGTTGCTCTGCTCCGGAAGCAGTTAGGCGAATCCCAAGCACAGCTTTTTGCAGTGCAAGCCCGCTTCGACGCCTACCTTACTTCTGCTGGTTCAGCCGCTGTCAAGATGGATCCCAATTCTCCACAGTTGGTTCGTCCACCCGGTGGAGCTCCTTTGCCAATTCCAGTAGACAGCCCGGAAGAAGACGAAGCCAAGAAAAGAAGAATCCGTATGGAAATGGTCCACAGTGCACGAGCTGTGGTAGAGACAAATCAGAGAGAAAGGAGCCCGAGACGCGATGGGTCCAACTCACTAGAAAGATTGGACAAGTGATCGGGCCATGGGGGCATGAGATTCCAGGCCTTCTCATGACGAGTTTTCAGGCCTACGGATCTGCCCACCCCAGCAATGGTTTTTTGCTACTCTCTGAACTCCCAAAGGAATGTCCAGAGCCAGTCAACCGCTCCAAGGATGGCATCCAGGATCGAAAGCGTTTTGTGCTGGGGGAGTCAGGCACGAAGGATCCTGATGGCGAGCCTTGGATGATTTTGGCATCTTTGTATGAGTATCTTGGGCTGGATGCTTTCTATACTAGGAATCGAACCCACAACCCATTTGTTGGTTGGGGTTTTCAGCCCCGTATGAGCAATTCTAATAGGCTCTGGGGACGGGTTTTGGTTTTAGATGGGAGTATTGGCGCCGTATTTGAAGTGGCGACTTGGACTTCCAGTTCCTCCATAGGGAGATGTTACCTGGCTAGTGGTGGCCATACGGCAGATTGGGGTTTAGGCCTCAATGGGTTTTCCTTTGCCGATGCTGCGGCTGCATGGTGGCAACTTCTCTTGATGATCATTCTATGGAGGCTCGCTATTGCCTTGTCGTTGAGTTCAGGGCGAATCCTCTTATTTCTTTTCTTGCATCGGCCTCTAAGAGGTATACGGGAAGAGCAATATCTAATTCAGTGGTGCCTCAATTTTGCTGCGATCTCCACAGCTGCATTATGGCAGAGCATTTGGATTTTGCGGCAAGCAGATGCTCGCTTGGGTGTCATCGATGGTGTGCATATCCGTCTTGACGCCTTCGCGATGGTCGGAACCAGTATTTTGTCTGGTACGACTTTTGGTCTGACCTTTCTTCGGATCATGTTACGATTCCGCATTGACGGATTAGGCCCTTGTCGAAGAATAGGGGTCCAGCGTTGCAGGTATAGACCCAAAAGCCGACCTCGAGTCAAATGTTCAGGACTCTTCTTTCTGTTCAACTTGGTTGGCTCGCATGCGGTTTCCATCCACAATGTGATTACCGTGAATAATCAGACCACGACAAGTCTTTACAGGGACAACACTGCAACCCTTAGAAGAGCTAATGAGGACAGTGAGATGCCCTCAGAGAGAACAATTTCCGATTGCCTGAATAGCAGCTTTGTCTTTGATTCAAGACCTATTGATGCGCGAGTTTGGATGGCTCCTCGGCATCAATGCAGTGCTGCATTCAGGGACACTCGCATCCCGGCTAGCGCGCTGGGAAATATAGGCGATTGGGTTTGCAATGTCTGGTCAGACAAGTTTCTTGGGGAGCCTTGTTCCTTCCAGATGATTCGGCCGCCGCCACTCCAGGGGAAGCTTGCGCAAATTTTGGTTTTCCCGAGTAAAGGGCCTAGTGGCATCTTGATAAAGCAAGTTGATTGCTCGGATTCAAGGCATTTCGCATGCGCATTATCCAGGAGCCATGGTCTAGCCCGGGCTTATTCTCGCTTTATGGGTAGACAATGGCAGAGTGGTGATTATGTGCAATTATCTGAACATGTTGCCAAAATTTCCGATTGGGATCTTGCGCCCGAGCAAGAACAATACAGTCTTATGCAGGTCCCTTCTTTGCCTACTGGGCCAACACGCATTGCCTTCCGCGAGATCACCAGCTTCTCTGCCCAGAATTTTGTTAAAAGAGATGAACTTCGTAGGTGGTTAAGTGAATCGTTGGATTCCGCGGATGAGCACCCAATCCGGTTAGCGGTTTGGCGTTTCGGTCCTGAGCAAGTTGTAGCAACTTCGTGTGAGTATCTTTTGCTTGATGAAGAAAACTGGGCAAGAACTTTCAGGGGTTTCTGGAAAACTTCGGATGTTTTCAAAGTCCCTGACGTTGCACTAGTTGAACCACAGCCACCACGCATCAGTGGAGCAATTGGCGTGCAGAAACATGTGCTTGCTTTCGAGCATAACAAGATACCAGCAAGTTCTCGTGGTTTGCTTGTTGACATCTGGACAACTCACAGCTTGCTTTCAGGAACCGGGAGGACCTTCCTAAGGAGAAGTGCAACCTTGGTTCCACGTGACTTTACGGTACGAAGCATTGCTCTGGTTCTAGGTGTTGCTGGGAAAGATGCATTGCCGTTGGATATGTACATGACCTTCTCAAGGAGGGATGGCACACCTTCCGTGTTCTTTCGACAAGATCAGGAGGTAGTGGTTCCCAGCTTCTCATATGTCGACTTGGTCATCTTGGTTTCTCAAGATCGATTCTGTCAACCAATTGAAGAGAAGAAGGGAGTCAATTTGTCCTCCGATGAGCAACAGGAGATTCACGTTCCAGCTAGGGACAACACTGCAACCCTAAGGAGTAGCAACCATGTGGGGCATGAAGCATCAGGTGGAAGCGATTTCGTTGCGATGATGCAGACTAGCGGCATGACTTCTGCTCAGCTTGAGGCGATTAAGTGCTTTACACCGGTCACTGGAGAGCTCAGGCTTTTCTCGCATCTCGAATCGTCTTGGAGGCTTTGGCATCATCTCGATAGGTTCCGAGGTTTGAGACAAGGCCTGAGTGAAGAGATACTGTCATGGATACTAGTGGAGGGTAGTAGAGTCCAGTCTCTACCAGTGACACTCTTCACGGCCAGGCCCCAAAGTCCAACCTGGAATGATCCTCGGGGGCTTTGGGAGGCATTGGGTGGTTTGGGAGACCCGGTCGTCATCATGGTTTTTCCGAGGCCACCGTCTCTGACACTGCCAGATGAGCATCTCATTTTTCTCCCAGCAGATGCTCATGATAAGGAGGAACGAGCTTTTTTGGTCGATGTTGTCGGGTTGCATGCCATAGGTCAGATGCCGCTCGAAAGAGTAGCTATCCGTGGGGAGAGACTTACTCCACGGATGATTGCGGACCTTCTGAAACATGAATGCAATGAATGCTCGGTAATATGCAAAGCTCGATCCCCTCAGCCTGTGTATTTGGCGGAGCAGGACATCCGATGTCCCACAGGTTCGTATGTTGTGCTGGGGTTAACTGAGGGCGCATGTAGTGAGGATGGTCAAATGCCTGTTAAATACACCGAAAGTCGCAACAATTTTAAGGGCCCTGGGGATGTTACCCATCAAGACAGGACCGAAGCAGAACACGTTGTTCTGTTTCAGTTTGAACCGCCACCCAGGCCAGAAACGCATCAAGGGCTTGATTTTGTTCGAGCAAGACATGCGTGGGTGCGGAATACTGTCGTTCACCACCCGCAAATTATTGTGGGTATCATGGATGTTGCGGCTATTGCGAATGGACACTGGCCAGTGTTTCGAGTCCACTTTACTGAAATCCCATATGTCACACGAACTTTCGGGTTCTATGACCATGAGCACATCACCATTGATCTGATACGTGTTGCGTTTCGGGAACATCATACTGACCTTTTCAGATTTGACGAATCGGTCAGTGTCGGACTTGTGAGCGCGGACCAATGGCATCAGGGTCGACGTCCCATGCATGAGATTGAACTAATTGCTGTTCGAGGAAGAGTGCCGATGCAAGGGAGACCCAGTTTGGTTCGTATAGTTCCTATAGATCCACTTGAGCCAGCGCTTTCGATTGCAGCAGTTTTTCAA